CGCATGATTTTTGCAGGCTACCCTGACCACACGGTCTTCTCTGAGTTCAGAAGACGCTTTGACGTTTTGGCCCCTCACCTGACCAAGAAACTAGGCCGAAACTACATCGTGAAGGATGAGAAACGAGTGAGTAACTATTTAAGAGAATAATGAGCATGAAAATAATAGAACAAAAGCTTTAGAAATGACTGAAATGAAGATTTGGACTCCTCTTGCTCTTGTGTGCCATGAATCCAAGACAGAATGAACTCTGGGTAATCAGGGTTATTGTGATGGCTTAATCAAGAAACCCCAGCTGGGTCTCTGACTTGATTCAATTCGCAGAACAGACAGAAAAAATGTAGTAATTACTCTGGGCTTTAGTGCTTACTAAATGCCCAAATGTACTGTAATTATCAGCTAGAAAAATGTCTCCGTCCAGGAGTCTCCTAATCTCGTTTTGGCCCTGTGATTGGCCGAGGGGAAAGGAGAGTTATATACAAAACCTTTGCACTGTGGCCCTGGGCATGTACACCGCAGACAGGGTCCAAAATTAATACTAGCCAAGTGCCAAATGCAAGTAAAAATTAGCTTTGCCAAGTAGAGTTATTCATGAGTTGAATGGAAGCTTAAGTAGGAAATGTAGCATAATACATAATGGGAGATATAACATAAAATTGTAATTATGAGAAATGATTGAAGCCACAATAGTCATATTGTGATATATATAAAGTCATACTGTGAACATGAGATATAGTTGCAATTGTGAGATGTAAAATCACAATTATAACCAATTTAGACACAATTGTGAGATATAAAGTCATATTGGGAGATATATATGTCAAATTGTGAGATACAGTTGCAATGGTAAGATAAAAGTCACAATTATGAGAAGTTAAGTCACATTGTGAAAAATCATATTTTGAGAAACTGTACAATAGAATTGCAGTTATGATAAATGAGGTTGCAATTGTGAGATATAGTCATATTGTGAGATATAAGATTATATTGTGAAATATAAATTCATATAGGAGGATATAACAATGGTGAGATATTAAATCACAATTATGAGAAATTAAGTCAATTGTGAGACAAAGTCATAATGTGAAATATAAAATCATTGGGAGATTCACAAGAAATAAATTCACTATTATATTTAATTTTTTACTCTGAGGCAGAAATTAACATGTTTATGACTTGTACAAACCTATGCTGTAAATAATAAACAGCTAAATAATCACATTGTCCCTAACATTTTAATAAAAATAAAGCAAAATAAAGTTGCATGGTAATTAACAGGTGTAGCAAAAAAGTCAATTTTAGAGTCTGACCATCAGCTTTTCAGAGTAAAAAGAATACAGAAAGATGACCGTCCTCTTTTTGTGACACAGCAGAGAAGGTCAGTCGCGTTTCAAGTCCCAGAGGAAGTTGAAACGATGCAAAATTGGAAATCTAGAGAGACGCAGAGAGAAAGAAAAATAAAGAGGGAGGTAGAACCGTCTCTCTGAGGAAAGGTTTTTGTGAAGCGATTCGAACAATGGCCCTTTGGTTGTCAGGGGCCAGCGCCCCCTTTAGTGCTGTAATCTAGATGGGCCCTTTCAGATAGATCGAGTTCTCAAGACTTTTCCACATGAGAAAGACAGTGTCAGTGTCACAGTGAGGGCTGATGGTCGTCTGGACAGTTTGGGGACTGTACAGCAAAGAATAACCTGTGTGTGTGTGTCCAGTAGGCCTACACAGGAGTCAGCAGTGTTTTTGTAATGTACACTGTGTGAATTAGACATGACAGTGCGTTTGTCATTGCAGGCAGTAGAGGAGCTTTTGGATTCTCTGGAATTGGAGAAGAGCAGCTATCACATGGGCCTGAGCAGGGTGAGTAACACACACACAAGTTACTATTCATTTTATCAGTTCAGAAGCGTCAAAGGATGAAGGTGAGTCAAACTATGAATTGTATGCAGCAGATGATATGTCATCTGTATGTTTTTCTGTCTACTACTGCATGGTCAGTCGGCTGGACGCAATAAACTCTCATCTCGGCGTGAGCTGCTTTGTTTGTTTGTGTCTTTCCTGGTTCTTCATGCCGTCCTAATCAGTGTGAACAGACGCTGGCGCTCAACAGTTTAATCCCATCAGCTGGAAAACCACGGCGAGCCAAAAAAAAAACAAAAAAAAGAGCGGCGTGTGTAAACAAGCCCCGCCTGGCGCATTCCCAGAAGAATGGAGATTTATTGGACCGTATTTTAAGTTGGAATAGTTAGTAATTATTTTGTGGCAGCTGCAATTGGCGTCAAGGTTTGCGAAGGCTGAACTGCGCTCAGAAATGGATTACAATGTCAGGGGCCCTTCATGAAAGATTCGAGGAACAAAACACTGATTTACAACTCCACCAACATCTCCTGTCAGTTCTGCTCAACTTGTGCTGTTACGATTGCTGCTGGCACAACTATGTTTGTGTGTGTCTGTTAGGTGTTCTTCAGGGCTGGAACAGTGGCTAAACTAGAGGGACAGAGGGATGAACACACCAGACAGAACATCACGCTGTTCCAGGCCGCCTGCAGGGGCTTTTTGTCTCGACAGGCCTTCAAAAAGAGGAAGGTAGAGTCAATTTTCTTGAGCTGAAATTGCAATGTCAGTCCATCAGAATCTCAACATTTATTTCTCTTACACTACCGTTCAAATGTTTGGGATCAGTAAGTTTTCTTTTTGTTTGTTAGATTTTTTCTCTTATGCTCACCTAGGCTGCATTTATTTGATTAAAAATACAGTAAAACGAGTGATATTGTGAAATATTATTACAATTTAAAATAATTGTCTATTTTAATACATTTCAAAATGTAACTTTTTCCTGTGATGACAAAGCAATTTTCAGCAGCTATTACTCCATTCATTCATTCTCATATGCTGATTTTTTTTAATATTGTTGATTAATATTAATATTTTTGTGGAAACAATACATTTTTTGTCAAATGCTTCGATGAATATAAAGTTTAAAAAACAGCACCTTTATTGTCAACCCAATGCATCCTTGCTGAATGAAAGTATTAATTTCATTAAAAAAAAAAAAATGTACTTACCCAAACTTTTCAACTGTAGAATATATCAGTCCACTTTAAGAGCAAAACACATACATCAATGCACAGCATTGAGCAAGAGAGCATTTATGAAGGTGACGGGGTTTTATTTAAGCTGAAGCTAGTAATTTCTGCAACACTAGTGTCACTGAGCAGAACTGCAGACAAAAAAACCACACCCGTCTCCCATTGGTCAGCCAAACAAATAGATCTGCCCCAAACTCACTCCATTGGTTGAGCCATTGTTACTGTTGTTGTGCAGCACAAACAAACTGAAAATGTTTTGAAAGCACCACAGAATAAGTTTTTTTTTTACACGTTTTGAGGGGATTAACCTACAAATGACTTCGTTGCCTCTGCATATTAAACTATGGTAGAAAGTATTTTAATACTGGAAAAAAAAACACTTCTGCTTTAAGTGCTCTCCCGTTTAGTCTCCCTAGAATTAGAAGATCTCAAATTAATAAAAGCTCCTCTGAACACTTTCAGATCACGGCATGCAGTCAGGCCTCTGAATAAAATCCTCTCAATTCTTCATAATGTGCATTTAATTAATTCCAATCGGATTTACAGTTTTGGTTTGCAAGTCTTTCTGTACTTTTTCAAAAATGCCATATCAAAGTCATACTGTGGCTTTTATGTTTGTGTTCGCAATGGAACATTAATCATTTCATGCCGCGCAGTTAATGCAACTGTCATGTCATTCACAGATGGAGATCTGTATCATCAGCCTGACGATTAAAAGAATAGTTCAGTCAAAATGAATATTCTGTCATCATTAACTCATCCTCATGTCATTCAAAACCTCTATGGCTTTTTTTTACCCTTAAACATAAAGGCTGCTGAATATATGGGCCACTCTATTTAATATAATGAAAATGAATGAAGACTAGGGCTGCATAAAAGTTTTTCACGTAAACGTTCCCTTTAAATAATCTAAAACAAATCTCTCTGTCTCTCAGATCCAGGATTTGGCCATCCGTTGTGTTCAGAAGAACATCAAGAAGAATCGTGGTGTGAAGGACTGGCCCTGGTGGAAGCTCTTCACCACCGTACGACCTCTAGTAGAGGTTCAGCTCACCGAAGAACAGATTCGAGGAAAAGACGTGAGTCTTTCCAGCTTACTCTTTATTTCATGCCCTGGTTTGCTCGCTATGCAAAGCTTCTGTCAGTTTACAGTAGAGCTCGAAGGTTTATCTGTGTGTGTGTGGACGCGTTTGCCTAAAAGATGACACGATCTGAGGGCTTTTGTTGCATCAGCGTTAGAGCCGATACTTCTCTTTGATTCCTGCTGCCATCACATCTCAATCCCAGCTCAAAGCATTAGCTTTAGAAATGCAACAATGCCATCTGGCCCCTTCCTGAACTCACCTGAAGGCAGAAAGATCTCGCCTGATCAAAAGAACATCAGATCATATAATAGTAGCTCAACAAGCCTCAGACCAAAGATCGTCCTGTTCTTATCTAAATATTCAGTATTGTCTTTTGATGGCGATAAATGTTTTGTTTTGACTTGTAGGAGGAGATCATGCATCTGAAGTTGAAGCTGGAGAGGGTGGAGAAGGAAAGAAATGAGCTACGGCTGACCTCGGATCGTGCGGAGAGCAGAGTAGGAGAACCAAGCTTTTTATTTTTTTCATTTTTGCTGTCCTGCTTGGCTCCTTAAAGAAAACCAGAGAGAAAATAAGAACGCAAAGGGTGTTATTTTTGAGTTAGATATGCCGAGTGTCTCCACAAGTATTGACAAATAAATGTATTAAGTGATGTCTAAATGAAAATATAAAAATGCAGAAAGCCTCCACCATATTAGAAAAACAAGAGCATATGTGTGTTTATGTAGATCACAGAGCTGACGGCAGAGCTTTCAGATGAGAGAAACTCTGCGGAGTCGACGTCCCAGCTGCTGGAGACCGAAACAAGCGAGAGATTGCGTCTGGAGAAGGACATGAAGGACATGCAGGTACATGAACTCCATCAGTCCTGCTTCAGTCTTTATTAAACAGTGATGAAGAGTAACTAAATAAAAGATAGCCGCTAGGTTAACTTTTTAAGTAACATAATTCAGTAAAATAATATGGTTTCAAAACACTGCATCACTATAATTTGTCACATTATATTTTACCAGGAAAAATAATATTTTATGTTTTTATACAAAATGTAGTAAAATTCTGTTTAGTAACAGTTAAAAATATTTAGTTATGTTTTTAATATGGTAAATATTATGGCATCTTCATTTTAGTAGCTTGTAGTGTAGTGTATGTTTTTCATAAATATAGATTTACTGTATTTTAACTATTTTAAATCATAAATAGCTTGTGTCATGGATTGAATAAAAGTTGTGGTGAAAGTGTGTTGGGGATATTTTTATACTTTATATAAACTTTCTTTTATAGTCTGTGAAAGTTGTGGTAGGAGTGAATGTGTGAGTGGGCTGCTGTAGAACATACATTTGCTTTTCTTTTTCTGAAACTCAGGTGAAGTTTGACGATGTGAAGAAACAGATGGAGTCCATGGAGATGGAGATCATGGAGGCCAGACTCCTCCAAGCATCAGAGCTCAACGGCGAGATGGACAATGATGGCGATGATTCTGGTAAAAAACAAAAAAACAAAAAAAACAACCAGACAGCACTTGAAGTTGATTATGAAAATGCTTTATTTTGATAAGAATAAATATATTTTTTGGCCGCTGGGATGGAAAGAGGACCGGATTGGTCAAAAACTGCTCTATACACACACACACACACACACACTCACACGCGCGCACACAAACAGCTCAACAAAACAACTCAGGAAAAATCTGTATGTCTCTGTATGTTTGTGCATGTCAGGAGGTGAATGGAGGCTGAAATATGAACGTGCCATCAGAGACAGAGAATTCACAAAGAAAAAACTCCAGCAGGAGATTGATGACAAGGTGGAGACAGAACAACAGAACAAGAGACACGTGGAGAGAAAAGTTAGTATAGCACAGTAAATAAACACATACACAGAGTGCACACACACTAGGACTGCTAACAGACTACACACAGTGTGAAATGTATCCAAATTCAAACTCTGCTACAATAAATGATACTCTGACGTTGACCAGCAACACTTCAGAATCTTTAGACTTTTATAAACTTCACCTTCCTGTCTCTCTGTGTAGTTAACGGACTTGCAGGCTGACCACGAGGAGTCCCAGCGATCAGTCCAGCAGCTGAAGAAGAAATGCCAGCGGCTGGCAGCTGAGCTGCAAGACACCAAACTGCACTTGGAAAATCAAGAGGGACGCAACCATGAGCTGGAGAGAAAGCAGAGGAAGTAAGAGCCAATCATACACAAACACACACACACACACATCTTAGTCTGTGTCTTCAGTCTCCTGCCTGGTCACCTGCTGGGGTCTGATTATAGAGATTTCTGATTATTGTTTACTCTGTGGTTGTTTGGGCCATATATTTACTGTTTGATTGTTTGGGCCGTTTGTTTATAATTTGACGTGTTTGTTTACTGTTTGATTGTTTTAGTGGTTTGTTTACTTTATTGTTTGGGCTGTTCTTTTACTCATTGTTTAATCATACATTTCGTTCAATAATACAGTACAGTAAACTATTTGTTATTTGATTACTATATGATTGTTTGGGCTCTTTCTTCAATGTTTGATTGTTTGCTTGTTGTTGTTTAAGTTTGTTTACTTAATTACTGTCTTTTGTTTGTTGTTTAGTTAAGCTGTTTAGGCTGTTCATTTACTGACTGACTACTGTCTTGTATTTATCATTTAGATGTTTAAGCTGTTCGTTTACTGTCTGATTACTGTCTTTTGTTTGTCATTTAGTGTTTAGCTGTTTTGTCAGTTCGTTTACTGTCTGATTAGCTGGGCTGTTCATTTATCGTTTGGGCTGTTTGTTTACTCATTGTTTATTTCTAGACATTTAAATGTATTGTTTATTGTATGATTACATCTCTATTTGAGCTCTTTCTTTACTGTTTGGTTGTTTGCTGTTTAAGCTGTTTGTTTACTGTCTGATTATTTGATCTTGGGGTTGGATTTGTTTATTGCTGGACTGTTTTTTTGTGTCTGTGTCTTAGTATTTGGCTGATGTTGCTCATAACTAAAAACTAAAAGCACATCAGGCTTAGAGCTGGAGCTAAATCTCAACAGCCTTGACAATTAATGAGTAACCTCAGTGTACAGTTTATGCCCATGAGCACGTTATCATGTTGCTCTTGTCATACTGTGGTTGAAATTACATGTCTCAAAACCCATCTATCTTCTGAATTTTCTGGCAGGTTTGATGTGGAGAAGAACCAGTTTCACGAGGAACTACAGAAGGAGAGGAACCAGCGGGAGAAACTGAGTCGAGAGAGAGATATGCTAACTGGCGAGGTGTTTACAATCAGACAACAGCTACAGGTGAGACTAAAGATAGAAGAGTGTGTGTTGCTCTCTCTCGCATCCTTAAGCAAGACGCTTAACTTCAGGTTTCTGTAATAAGTCTATGGTACGTTGCTAATGACAAATTCATAATTTAACAAACAGGAGAAGGACACAGAGCTGTGTACGGTCAGTCTGAAGGTAGAGCAGCTGGAATCCGAGCTCCAGGATCTCTCCTCTCAGGAGTCAAAAGACGAGGCATCACTCGCAAAGGTTAAGAAGCAACTGCGTGATCTGGAAGCAAAGGTCAAAGATCAAGAGGAGGAGCTTGATGAACAGGCTGGAAACATTCAGATGCTGGAAAAGGTACAAGCTAAAAAACGGGCAAATCAAAGATGGATAGTGACTCTGAATTATGCTGTGTTCTGTTCAGAGCCATTGTTATTGTTAACTAAAACTAAAACTATTAAAAATCATTTTCATTCATGGAAACATGGAAGCTGAAATAAAGTAAAATTAGATGAAAATCTTAAATATAGTCTTAAGTAGAGTCTAAAAAGAAGCTGAAACTGAAATAAATATAAAAATTAAATAGAAATATTAAAAAATGATTTTAAAAAATGATGAAATGACTAAAACCTGAACTAAAATTAAAACTGAAAAATAAAAGCAAATTTTATATATTAATACATACTATAATAACATGTAAATAATATTAAAATAACATTGCTCATTTCGGAAAGGTGGGAAAGCAAAACCTGCCAACTTTATTTTTCAGAGGATATTATCAACAGTTAACCTTATCTGATCTGTGTGTTATTTAGGCTAAACTCCGTTTGGAAATGGAGATGGAGAGATTGAGACAAACGCATTCTAAAGAGCTGGACAGTAAAGATGAGGAAGTGGAGGACATCAGACTGTCCTGCAGTAAGAAGGTGAACAAACAGGATCTGAACACAATCAAATCACACAATTTGAGACCTCCATGTTTCCTAATGGCTCTTTTGAAATGTGTGTGTAGCTGAAGCAGATGGAAGTGCAGTTAGAGGAGGAATATGAAGATAAACAGAGAGTTCTGAGAGAAAAGAGAGACCTGGAGTCCAAACTGATGATGGCACAGGAACAGGTACTAACACAAGAGAACACAAATATTGCAGACAGCATACAATACTCAAGAAAGTATAACACAGTATTACACTATATAACAGGTTGGTCAGAGGGATGTAGAGACAGAGAAACGTCTCAGGAAGGATCTGAAGCGCACAAAAGTTCTTCTGGTTGATGCGCAGGTGATGCTGGACCACCTAAAGAGTAATGTGCCCAGCAAAAGAGAGATCATCGCACTCAGAAATAAGGTAGAATCACAATCAGAGCAGTAGAAATTACAATTAATGTCCCTCACTGGGAATAGAAAAGGACTAATTGCTTCATGTGAGCGTATGTTGTATCTGGTGTAGTTGGAGGAGTCAGAGTTTGTCTGCGCAGCCGCAGTGAAAGCACGCAAGTCTATGGAGCTGGAAATTGAAGACCTTCATATCCAGATGGACGACATCACCAAAGCCAAGATGGCTGTGAGTCATATTCTATTTTATTTGAAAACAGTTCAGTGGTCATAAACAGGACAAGTTTGAATGTTTTTTAACATGTTTGTTCAAACATAGAGTACATTTATTTATATCTGATTGTTTGGGCTCTTTCTTTGCTGTTTGCTTGTTTGTTTTTAGAGTGTTTGTTTTCTTTATTGTTTGTCCTTTAGTTGTTTAAGATGTTTGTTTACTGATTACCGTCTTTTGTTTGCTGTTTACTTGTTTAAGCTGTTCGTTTACTTTCTGATTGTTTGGCGTGAATGTTTACTGTTTTGATTGTTTTATTAGTTTTGTTCATTTTGTTTCAACAGTTCATTTGTTATAAACAAGAAAAGGTCTTATACAACATTTATGACCTTTATGATATCGAGGAATTAACCCACATTTTCAGATATTTCACAAGTTATTATCAAGTTATTATCAAAAAATTATTATGCGAGTCATCAACAGCTCTTTTAGAAATTTACACAGGATAGAATATGCCATTCAAAACATGTGATTTACTACTTTAGAAAATTTCAATTTGTTCACCAGATTCGTTGGGAGAAAAATTTTAGTTTTGAGGCAAAATTCATCTTTTGAGTTGAATAGAGCAGTAAATGTGTCAAGATTAATTCAAACAGCTGGGTAAAGAGAAATAAAGTGCTTACAGTTCAATCATTTTCCTGCTCAGGCTGATGGGAAAAAAAAAACATTTAGAATAAATATTCCAGAGGGAAAAATTTAAACCTCCAGAGTCAGATAAAGAAACCCTGAATCATGGTGTCGTAACCAAGCATGACGCGATAAAGCGTTAAATCCTGTCTCTTCCATGTTTATCTGAGTTTTTGTCCTAACCGACTGTGATAGCCGACAAGACATTTTGACAGTTGCTTGGGTTTTATTCCTGCAGCGTCATGCTGTCTGGCTCCACCCACAGTGAAATCTGACACAAATCCTGACTCGCATGGAATTTTATACCTTAAATCTATTCTGATTTTGTCTTCACGATTTATCTTGGTGACGACAAAAAGAATGGAGATAAAATGAAAATCAGTGCAGCTATTCTTCTCTGATTCCTCCCCCATTCACATTACAGGCTCTTTCAAGACTCCAAAAATATGGCACTCAGATTTAAATGGTACACTTGGGGTGTGCATTTGATTTATTATTTATGAGGAAGAGGAGATGATGTCAAATAGAAGAGTTTAAGGGTATTATCTCCTCGTCACAGCCTCAACCAGAAATATGCAATTACTGTGTGTAATGACAGTATTTTAGACCCACTATGAAATGCTACTCTAAAATCTTACACTAAAATGGCAGAAACATAGTTTTAAAACACTGAAGGCTGCTGTGACTATATTATGGGAAGTGATCCGTTATTAAAAGTTATGTTTTTTTGGGTTATCTAGACAGTTTAGGGTCATGGAGAGCAGAGAAAAACAACAAAAATAATAAATTGCAACTATTAGATATGTAATAAACAGGTTTGTTTGTTTTTTAAGAATTGAGAAAACATTTTGTTGTTGATGTAAAACTGCATCCAATCAAACTCTGCAGTATTTTGGTGTGGTGTTGATCTGTCACATGGTAGAAGCTGCCAAATCAGACAGATGCCAACATGGACAGGTTGCGTGGCATTTCCTCATCCTCAAAAACCATGAATAAAACTATTCAAGGTACTCATTTAACCCTGTCTGTTCTGTCTCCCTCAGTTGGAGGAGCAGATAAGTCGTCTGCAGAGAGAGAAGAACAACCTGCAGTCTCGCTTTGAGGAGGATCAGGAAGACATGAATGAACTCATGAAGAAACACAAAGCTGCAGTGGCTCAGGTGACCTCATATACATTTATATATATATATATGTGTGTGTGTGTGTGTGTGTGTGAGACCCTGGACCATAAAAACAGTCATAAGGGTCCTTTTTTCGAAATTGAGATTTATACATCATCTAAATTAAAAGCTGAATAAATAAGCTCTCCATTGATGTTTGGTTTGTTAGGATAGGACAATATTTGGCCAAGATACAACTATTTGAAAATCTGGAATCTGAGGGTGCAAAAAAAATCAAAATATTGAGAAAATCGCCTTTAAAGTTGTCCAAATGAAGTTCTTAGCAATGCATATTACTAATCAAAAATTAAGTTTTAATATATTGACAGTAGGAAATTTACAAAATATCTTCATGGAACATGGCATAAAAGAAAAATCAATACAATGTATTTTTGGCTATTGCTTCAAATATACCCCAGCGACTTAAGACTTTGTGGTCCAGGGTCACATATATACATATACTGTATATATATATATATATATATATATATATATATTACAGTATATAGTACCATATATAGTACAAAAGTTTGGAGTCAGTAAGATTTTCTTAAGAAATTAATACTTGTATTCACCAAGGATGCATAAAATTGATTAAAGGTAACATTTATAATGTTACAGAAGACTTCTATTTCTATTTAAATGCTGTTCTTTTGAACTTTTTATTCATCAAAGAATCCTTAAAAAAAGTTCTCAAAAAATATTAAGCAGCACAACTGTATTCAACAATGATAACAATAAGAAATATTTCTTGAGCAGCAAATCAGCAGATGATTTCTGAAGGATCATGTGACACTGAAGACTGGAGTTTGCTGCTGAAAATTCATTTTCTCCATCAGGGGAATAAATTCTATTTTACAATATTTTCAAATAGAAAACCGTTATTTTAAATTGTAATAATATTTTAATATATGAGTGTTTTTACTGTATTTTTGATCAAATAAATGCAGCCTTGGTGAAAGTAAGAGACTTATTTCAAAAACAAAAAATGTGTATGACATAAAGTCTAAATTATATATTTATGTACAGTATGTATATATCAACATTAAATCAGCAAAATTAAAATGCTAGCACAGATTAAGAGTTTAAATTAAATGTATGTATCATATGTATGTGTTTAGTCTACAAGAGATCTGGCACAGATCAGTGACCTACAGGCCCAGGTGGAGGAGGCCATGAAAGAAAAACAAGAGATCCAGGACAAGGTACCAAAAAGGCCCCAAATACACTAAAAATTCTTTGCAGGAGCCCGGAATTGCCTTCTGTCCCCTCATCATTATGTTCTACAGTACATAGTGGATTTGTAGATGGTTAGGGCCCATGCAATGAGAAAGGTGCAGAGGGCTGGCCGAATGTGGTCTGAAACATGAGTCTTAAACATGAGTGACCTGTGTGTTTTTATTTTTTTGGCAGTTTCACTCCCTGCAGTCACAGCTTGAATTTCAGGAACAGTCTATGGTGGAGAAATCGCTGGTCAGCCGTCAGGAAGCCAAAATCCGTGAACTAGAGACCAAACTAGAATATGAGAGGACCCAGACCAAACGTCTGGAGGTGAGTCACGTTCATGGCAAATTCAATGAATTCATAGCAAGGCACCAAAGCAGGATAGTTCCGAAAAAAATCATTTGATTTCATTTTGTATTTTAGTTGTACATTTCAATTTAGTTTTAGTTTGATTTAATGTTTTTATTTTATTCCATGCATAATTCTTTTAGTGAACTAAATGCTTAACCAACGTCCATAGCGCATGCAGATAAACAACTCCATCAGTGGCCACAATTCATTTACAGGGAATTGCTTCAGTGTGTTTCTGTCTTTTTTTATGCACTCTTATCTTTGGCTTTTCCATCTGTCCATGTTCGTCCTCCAGTCTCTTGTAACACGGCTGAAGGAAAACCTGGAGAAGATGACTGAGGAACGAGACCAGCGTATTGCCAGCGAAAACCGGGAGAAGGATCAGAACAAGCGAATGCAAAGGCAGATCCGAGACATAAAGGAGGAGATGACTGAACTGTCTAAGAAAGAGGCAGAAGCCAGTCACAAAAAACATGACCTGGTGAGTTCCAGAGTGCCCCATGCTGTATGGAGATTCTCTTGCCATTGCTATAGCAACTATAATGAAGGGAAACTGCCACAATGGATCTTTTATGAAAAGTGACATAGTTCTTGCATAGTAACCATATCTTAACTGGGGTATTTGTAGTAAGGCCACTGGTTAAACCATAGATGGCTTCTCAGGTAATTGTAATGGTACTGCATAAAGCACAGTATGGTTGCTGTAGCAAAACCATGGTCATTTTTTTCATAACTTTGGTTGGACTTCAAACAGGAAATGGATATTGAAAGTCTGGAAGCAGCCAATCAGAGCTTACAAGCAGATTTGAAGTTGGCCTTTAAGCGGATTGGGGACCTGCAGGCTGCTATGGAAGATGAAATGGAGACGGATGATGATGATGACCTCATCAACAGGTATGAGGATTAGTCTCCTGTCAGTGCCACTGTTTCCATGGCAACAATTCTCTGAAGTTGATCAGGACAACCACTGCATGTTACTATTGTTTACATAGACCCTTTTTAAGTTATTTTGCTTTTTTTCTTCTTTTGTTTCTTGTCTCCAATTTTTTTTTTAATATGATCAACTACTTATTTTCCTTTTCCCCCTATATTTTCATCTATTTTTATTTTATTTTTGGCAGTTTACAAGACATGGTGACAAAGTATCAGAAAAGAAAGAACAAAACGTGAGGATGCTAAGTGGTGATTGTTTCTCATCTGTTTGTTGGTTTGAGTTTATAATGCTATTCATTGTAAGAACTTGAAAATGCTGTTGTATTACTCTGCAGTCCAACAAACCATGATAAGTCTCGCATGGCAAGTATTATTTTCAGCTGAAATGGGAAGAATTATTAGTCCAATAACTAATTTGATCATACAGCAGCATTTTCCTGTCTTCATGAGCATGTGCTGCAATTTTAACAATATCATTATGTGTTGCTCATCTGTTTTTACCCATTACACCAGCCATCTTTTTATCAGAGCCATTTATACGCCCAGAAAAATATGAAAATATAAAATTTAAACATTGAAAAACACAGAAGCCACTTTTAAATTAATCCCACAACTAAACCCGTTTTCATTCTGTTTGAAAATCCAAATTAATGTATTAAGTTTCTAGTGCATCTTGCTACTTAACTGTGCTTAGCAAGTTGTGATATGTTCATGTGTGTTGTTGTGCAAGTGTAACTGCTTGGATTCTGGAAAGGGAGAATCAATTGCATTCGGTTGATTAGCTGTAATTGAGTGGAACTGCGATATGCAACCAATAGAAGCAGATTGTCACAGTCTATTAGCGTTTAAATGTGAGCTGTGTGTGTGCCTAAGCTTTAAATTGTGTGTGACAGTAAGTTGAAATTCTCCAGAAGCATCTGTAGCCTAAATTCACTGTACTCATGGCATCCCTGATTGTGTGTCTGTGCAGTTTTTGTACACAGATTTATACTTGTATAAGCTTTTGTGTATTTTCTTAAAATCAAAGCTTGATATAAACTGTAATAGTGACTGCAAAGGCTTATGGGAATGATATAACGTGCCACTGCGTTCACAGAGAGAATGCAGTCAAATATCTGCCTTTAGTGTTATTGTGGAACGGATTGAAATCCTCTTTTCCCCTATTTCGTTTATTGAAACCACGTGTTGTTTTGGCACTAACCAAAGTATTGTAACCCTCTTGCCTTGATCAGCCAAAATTACCTTTATGTCAGCTGCTATATTTGATTGAGCTTCTCTTGTTGGCAGTGGAGATGAATCGGATATGGACTCTGAGGTGGAGGACCGCGTAGATGGGGTGAAGTCATTGCTCTCCAAGAGCAAAGGATCCGCCAAGACACTCTCTGATGAGGGCACCCAGAAAACCACCAGGTCAGTGTGGAACATATCAGTGTGGAGTTTAATTTCAAAGACTGAGATCATTTTATGATCCCCAGAGCTGGAGAAATTAAGCCACACTTAATGGTGTTGGGGAACTGGTGACTAAATTATGAGTTTGTTTACATTTAATATATGGTCTTTTTTCTGGAAGTATAAATTAGTATTTAGATTTTTTAACCCCCTTAAATACATATTTATCAGATGCATATTTAATTTAAAGTGTTTAATTTAATCCTCCATAAGTTTTCTTTGGAAAGCTGATTGAACAATCGTTCAAAGTGTATAGGCAGCTTTTGTAGCTAAATTTACAGGGTAAGAACATTGGGGGCGCTACTGATGTGGTTTACCAGAGTACCAGCCAAGACTTACATATGTCCTCTCCATCTGTGCGAAGTGCTAATAAGCTCAAGACAGCATTTGATGGTGTCGGATTCATGACTGTCTCACCGGGAGCTGCTGTTACTGTTCTGTCCCTCAGTAGTATTAATACGGTGCGGTTACATAACTGCCATTAGGAGTTTAATCCTTTGAAGTTTATTCCTGGGGTTGGTGTAAAATACGCTCCTAAATTACCTCTCAAATCTCTTTCGTTCTTTGAATTCATATTTATCTCTGTTACGGGTATCATCCTGTTTCATTCATTGATCTTCTGCAATTCTGCCACTTTAATGTGTTTTCTGTCCGTCTCAGACACACCAATGCTGCTAATGCAGATGTGAAAGATATAAAAGAAGGGAAAGAGGGAAAAGAGGGGAAGGAGGAAGTAAAAAAGGATTCAGACGAGAGCCGTTCATTGTCTGTGATGAGCTCGCTCAGCTACAGGAAACGCTCCCACCAGAAGGACTGGAATGGAGGTGCAGGGGATGACAGCTCTCTCTTCAGTGCCCTTCGGGAGCAGCCGGACATGCCTGACCGATTGTCGTTGCGCAAAGCTAAAAGCAAATCCACAGACAGGCCTCAGACTGGTGATGACCTGGATGACCGGGGTTCAGTGATATCCCAGGCTTACTCTGAGGCTGCCAGTAGGGCCAGGAAAGGTCTAGATCGTCGCTGGACCAAAAGCAGTCCAGAATTTGACAAAGAGCCCATGGTGTCCTCGGTTGCCCCGAGCCGAGCTTCCGCACGCCGTGGGATAGACCAAGATGATGATGCTCTGTCTGGTGTGAGCAGCTTCAGCTTGCGACGTAGTACTTCTTGGATGGATGACAGTCGCAGTGATTACGGGCCGACAAGTACCAGTATGAGTCAACGATCTAGAAGCCGAAGTCCTGGAAGCACCAGCGTCGGCTCACGAATTTCCCTGGCCCGCAGCACCCGACTTAGTGAGTTTGGAGTTCGTTTGAATAATGATGATGTTGATGACGATGATGATGTTGACTCTGTGAGTGTGGCCGCATACAGTCCACGCTCAGTGGGCCGTAGTCTGTCCACTCCTGCCCAGCTACGCTCCTCTGAGAACCCACTGGACACTTCTGACGTTAAACCTGTGAGTCACCGCAACTACCTGGACCCCGAGCTAGAAAAAGCCATCAATGAAGTCCTGAGCTTCAAGCCAATTAAATTCAAACGCCGCAGCTTAGAAGACTCAGATGAAGAAGAGGAGGGAGGTGGTGGTGCAAGAGAGGAAGAAGATAGGAAGAGCATCAAGAGTTTGTTGCAAGACAAGGACGATGAAGGTCTGGGCCTTAGCGGGTCCAGTCTGAGATGCTCAGCTTCAGGTTCTGCTGTAGATTCTGGACGTTCTGGAAGCTCAATGAGTTCCTTCAGCTCCAAGAGCAGCAAGAAGAAGAACAAGAAGAAGAGCAGGCGCTCTGAGTCTGACAGCTCCTCCAATGAGGGTCATACTCGGCGGCATTCCAGACAGAAAGAAAAGAGAAGATCCAAAAGCTCAAGAAAGAAAGAATCTGGATCGTCCAAGTCTGAATCTGACTCTGAATCATCATCTTCAAGCTCTGCATCAACAGTTTCATACCGCAGCTCAAACAGCGTGAAGAGAACCCCCGGACAGAAAGATGGGGGTCCAGAAAGTCCTGATGAAGAACGACCCCCAAGCAAAAAAGAAATAAAGAAACAGAAGAAGAAAGTGGACAGTCTGGTTATGAAGTATCTCTATAAGCCTGACAGTGATTAAGGATCATTAACAGGTGACCCTGGATGGGCCAGACTGAGGATTGATGTTTTCAAGAAGCTTCTCTCTAAACGCATGATGTGTTCTGCTGTGTGTTAAACTCTAAACAGTAGTTGTATCATTGGATTAAAAGGCATGCCATGACACTGTTGCCTGAACATTGTTTTGGGTTTGGACACAAACAGATTCAAAGTGTGGCCACATAGAGTATTGTACTAACACACAAATGCTTATCTTGATTTTTCCAAGTAGGACATGCTTCTTGTTGGTTCTGAAACAATATACTATCAATCAGATCTTTGTGGTAGGTTTGACTTAGGTTTTGGAGCTTCAAAAACTTCATGAACCTCTCATTATCAACCATTGATTTTTTTGGGTACTGGTTAGGGAAATGTTGGAAACTTAATAGGAAATGATACGGGTAATAAGGGATAGGCTTCAGGCTTTTTGTTAATTTGACAGGATTTTTGTTCCAGGACCAACAAAAGATATTCTTGGAAATGCAGTAAGCCACAATTAATGTACATAAAGCTTTAGAAATACTGGAAGAGTTTAAACTGATAATTGAGTAAGACCTTATTGCAAACAGAGTGGATGTTTTGGAACTACTGTAGATGTGCATTTGTGACCAGCCAGGGACATTCACTCATGACTTTTGTCCTGCTTATCTATCTCTGCATGGCATTGTGCCCGTCTGACCTCTCGCAAGGGACTAGTATGAAGGTGTGGCTATAATCTTATCTTCCTGTTTCTAAAAACATCTTGTCTTTTTTTCCCTCCAGCTCCTCACTCTACAGACCACACTCAGTGCAACATGATGAAGACAACACTGAACCAGAGAAAGACACTACACAAACTGAAAGTACTATACTTAAAGACAGCAATGGTGATGGTCAACCTTCGGAAAGTGCTGCGTAGATCTGATCTGCTGCTCGCGTGCACTGAAAAGTGCCTCAGTTTACCTCTCATCTACCCTAGCACTGATTCACTTCGGTTTCTTCATAGCCTACAATGGGACTAAAGTTTATCACTGCAGGTCTACATATACAGTGTGTTTTAGAGTTTAGAGTTTTTTTTTTTTTTTTGCAGCTGCGTAGCACCTGTATTAATTTAGATTGCGCATGTCTCCATCAACAACCCCTCCAAGAAAATGAAGTAATATATTGTGAAAAGGAAATGAGAATCTTTATCTAATTTATGTTTATTTTATATTGTTAGAGTGTCTGCTTTATGACATTTTGCCTTGAATTTGCTTGAGTGAACTATGTAGCACAGCTTTACTGTAGTTTGCAGTTCATGAAATAGGGTATTTATTTTTCTCTCCTTTGTTCCTTTATGAGCTGGTGAACTACTGTTAACCAGAGGAAGGTAATTTAGCACTGGTTTACTGAATGGCAGCATTTTAATTCTAAACCTCTTTATGATTCAGTTTATTTTCTTGAGGGTGCTTCATGTTTGGGCCTTAAGTGACATTTATAACCATTAATTTAAGATAATTTAGTACTATATAATTTAACTCTGCCAAAATTAATTATTGATGGGAGTCTAATCATTTCTGATGTGTCTGTGGGTAAGTGTGGTGTGTGCATGTGTTTGTCCTCCCGTTTTTCTAGGCATTAAATAAGACTTTTATTATGAAAGTACATACAAACAAGAGACTGTTTGTCTGTTCAGTGGCTTATGCAGTAAAAGCAAAATGATATATAAAAGCAATATATATAAGAAAGAGTTTTGCATTTGTTTTATTGTAAACAAAAGATGTTGATCCATTTTTATGGATGTGAACTTGATTTCTGCCAGATATGACTAAAGAGTGTCTGTGGGGTAGTTTCAGCCCTTATACCTGGAAGTTGCATAGAGCCAGGCGACCCAGTCAGCTCTTATCATTTGTGTCATATGCAACAAACTGTTACTTAGCAGACTATGGGAAGTTTGTGGGTATGCCATCTGATCCTGAGATAAAGGTTTAAATGCTATATTATATTATATTATATTATACTTAATGAGATGAAAAAGTATAACAATGGGTCTTATTCAGTTGTGTAAAAGTGGTACTTCCATGTGCAGAAACAGTAGATTCTCATTAGGTGCACAAACTTGTTTTAGTGTATATATTGTCCTCAGTTACCCTAAGAACAACAGTGGAAATTTTTTTTTTTGAGAAATGTGCCTTATTTTTTAAGGTTTATAAGAACATCTGTCTAGCAGACTAGAAGGAACGCAGTGTGCAAACACAAGAATAGCATTTAATCCCTGGAGTCTCCAGGGGGCCCTTAGATAAATAGCGTTGTAGGAACGCACAGGAGAGGCATGCTGGGATTTCCCACTGCTTTGTGTTTGGGCTCATCCACACTATCTGTCTACTCTGTTCTGATCCATGTTCACTGATATCATTTGCTCTTCAGTGGAAAAGTTAAACCAGCAGGACACTGGTTTAAACCCTCCCTTGCATTGTCCCATGATTTTCTAGCTGGCAGAAGCTTATGGTGCTTGATTTTATCTGTCGGAGGAAGTGCTGGATGTGTACTGTTTTAGAAGACTGCTGTTTTCGGTGTAAGCCTACATGACATTAATGGGTAATGCATGAGAGTTTGTTTTTTATCACCTGTAGACATGCATGCTTTGTTTTGGTTCAAGTACAATGCTGATCGATGGTTTGGTCTTCTAGGTACTAGTAAAATAATGCAGGTTTTAAATAGTAATGTAACGAATGATATTCAGACCTTTGTTTTCTTCATTTGTCAAGCGACTCACATCAAAGAGATACTGTTCTACTAAATAGACAAACTGAATGCAATCAGATTAAAGGATAGGAACTAAAGGTCTATGATAACTACAACCATAAAGTTGTGTATTGTCTTGTTCTGACAGATGATGGGTTGTTTCAGAGGTCTTTTAATATCACATATAAATTTCCCAAGTCTCAACAAGTTTAAACTTATGCTAGAATCCTGTGATTTAACACCTGTATTTTGCTTTCCGCTTATCGTGGCAACCCCGAAGCTAATTAACATAGCCCTCTCTGGGTTGAGGATGGATTTCTGCTGCTTTAGCTAATGGTCTTTTAATGTGTCCATTGTCAGACAAAGTCAATATAAATTTACTTTACTATTCCCCTAATATATACGCTTTGATCTTCTCACTGTGCAGTTCCCGTTTGGAGCCCCATTGAAGTGTGGGGAATGTGTGTTGTCTGCAGACTGATGTTCCCGTTGAGAGGGATACGGGAACATCAGGAATCATGATACAAAGCGGCTAATCGTTTTTTAACAGCTTGCTTTGTTTATAACTGCAGGGTTGGGAGACATAAACGATTTGCAATATGTGAAAGAATTATTCTTAACTAAAAATACTGCATTTTTATTATTCATGCTTTAATGGTCTCTACAGTGTTGAGATCATTATAAAGATCCCCCCAAAGACGTATGTTTCAGAACGCTAAACTGCTTAAAAGTGAAAAATTAATTAGCCATTTAATTCCAAAGTTCATTAGTAGAGCAGATGGAATGAATTATGTAGGGTATATATAGACAAATGATCCAACCATAGATTGCCAGACTGTTTCAGCAGCAGTTTACAGAAATTCTGCACAAGATGCAAACTTTAAACACTAAATAACTCACGTTGTGCTTAACCCTGGGTTTCTTCCCATTCTAAACCTCTAGTAGAGAAACATTTCACAATTGTAATTTAGTGGTGTTAGCTTAGAGCAAGCCTTGAACCACTTTTGCGGTGTTAACCCCTGCATTGCAGTGAAAAACTTCTGCAGTTAGAATGTTACTGCTAGATGCTTAGCAACAGACAACCAATCACGTACCTCATATTCATGTGCTTTGGACAGTCATAGAAAAATGGCACGTTGTATCCACCTACTGCAATTCCTGTTTGGAGAAGTCTGAAACAAATAATAAAGGTAACACTTTAGTTTAGGGAACAATTCTCACTAGTAACAAGTTGCTTATTGGGATGCATATTACTAGCATATTGGTTGTTTATTAGTACTTATAAAGCATATTAATGCCTTTTTCTATATGACAATATTCTACATCCCTACCCAATACCTAAACCTTAAAGGTGGGGTAAGCGATTTCTGGTAGCCAATGTTGACATTTGAAATCACCCAAACAAACACGCCCCTACCCCAAAAGGGTCTCGCCCCTATTTTGATAGCTCCGCCCCACACATACGTACGCAACCCAGGCAAAACCAATATTACACCGTGTCTACACCGGACGCGAGTGGCGGGGCGCGACAAAATACTATGGAACTCATTATAATCAGTGAAGCTGTCTACACCATATACATATGGTCTACACTGGATGCGGCGCGGCACGACGCGACAAATCCCCGACAGAAAACTGCTGCTGCGTTCTATTCATGACGTATTGACACAAATTTCAAATGAATTTCAATGGTCGCTTTGTCGCGTCCAGTGTACTAGACAGACTTTAGCTGTTGCGGCGCAGACACGGTGTTACTCACCTATCGAGAAGAAACAAAGCAATCTCGGTGTCCGATGGCAGGCCTTCTGCTCCTTGAGTTCTCTCCAGCACTGGAAAGCTGATCCGATATTTACACGGGTCCTACTTATTGCCTTAAGCCTTCTTATGTTCCACAGACGTTTTCCTCTTTTGTTTTTTATCAGCCATCTTTATCTTTCTGTCGCTCGGCTCAGCTAATGTCCGTCCTGTGCACTGAACGCTGTCTCCTCCACATCATGAGTAGACACGCCCCTTACTGCTGATTGGCTACAAGTTTGTTTTGATAGTGGTCCCGAATCAGTTTTCTACAGCGTTTTTGAAAAATCGCTTACCCCACCTTCAACAACTACCTTACTAACCATTAATAAGTAGCTAATTAGAAGTTTATTGAGGCAAAAGCTGTAGTTAATAGCTAGTTAATAGTGAGAATTGGTCCCCAAACTAAAGTGTGACGTTAATAAAGTTACAAATAATCCTTATTATACTTAATAATCCTTAGTAAAGATACAAATAATCCTTATTCATCAGTATGACTGAATGAGCTGAAAATTTTCCTTCATGTTCTATTTTCAGAAGTCAGGAAAATATGCTTGGAATTTTAGTGTGACATGCATAAGAAGAATATTTGTGGAAAGAGCTCCTTTCAAGTCCACTGCATTATTTTCCCCCTTATTTACTTTTTTCCTTTGTATTCCACTGTAACAATGTGAAAAAACAACAACATATGCAGTACTGTGCAAGTGAGGTCTGCTCACCTGATTTAATTTACTTGAATTCCTGAAAATTCATTGAAATGCACTAAGAATCTCTCGCCTTTATCCCTAATTTCTCACGTCTCTCTCCAGGTTTGTTTTCACACAGATGCTTTAAAATGTAATTGTCTCCCGTTTTCACTTCTAATCCCTATCAGCAGTGTTTACTGGAATGTTTCTAAAGCAGGTAAATACAATATTTGCTATCTGTCAGAATTACAGATATCACTTTGAAATATTATCACTCAATGTTCCAGTTAATAAACGTTTATGATTAAGGCTATGTAAAGTGATATTTAAGAAGTCTGTATTGCTGTGGAAATAATCAAGCTTTTGGAGTTATTCATGGTCTGCTGTAGCAATTTGTAAAATGCTTTTACACTTTTAAGTTTCCTTTTAATGTTCAGTGATTAAAAAGTGAGTAGATTAATGTCACCTCATTGTACCCGTTTTGGAAAATATTTATTATTGTGTTCATACAGCAAATGTATTTGTTCACCAGAACTGACAGGAACTGGGAAACATTGAAGCGGTCTTTGCGTCTGTCGCAGTGTTATTGTAGATCTACCGTGCAGAACACAGTGACAATAAACCTTGACTCTCTGCGACCTATTCAAA